AATAAAATGCAATACACTTATAACTTAAATTTTTCTAGTAGCCACATAAAAAAGTAGAGAAACACTTGAAATAAAATTTAAACATACACTTTATTTAACCTAATACATACAAAATGTATCATTTCTATATGTGATCAATATAAAAAATTATTAATAACCTATTTGTATACTTCCTTCTTACCAAGTAATTGAAATCTGTCATAAAACATTTAGCATGTCTTTCTTTGTATGTATGATGGTGGGGATTGAACCCAGGGCCTTGTGCATGTGAGGCAAGCACTCTACCAACAGAGCTATATCCTCAGCCCTAACATCTCTTATGCTAGGCACATTTCAAGTGCTCATAGGCATACAGGGCTTATGATTTAATATTGACAGCATAATTTTTGACTGTGATTCCAAGGACCTTGGACATTTATTTCTGTGTTTGTATTGCTGTTATAATGCATGGAACATAGTAAATGTTCATTCATATATTTTTAAAAAATTTTGGGGTTGTAGAAGGACACAGTACCTTTATTTTATTTATTTATTTTTATGTGGTTCTGAGGATGAAACCCAGTGCTTCACACGTGAAAGGCAGGCACTCTTAAGATGGAACTACAGATCCTTTTACCAGCTGATGACTTGGTTAGGGAACTTGATTCTCCCTAACCTGGGCTCATTATAGCAGTGAAGATATTTGCATCTGCCTTTTAGAATTATTGTGTAAGAAATAAATGAGCACAGTACAGGTGAAACACCTTAGTTTTCTTTTCATACCTTTTCTTTATTTAATCTGAAGTCATAAGTCAGATGATTTAATCTATTTGTCCCCATTTATATTAGATTTTATTAATTACCCCACCAAACTTAGGACTCTTTTTTTCCCTCCAGTTACAACTGAATGGAAAGAAACTAGAATCAGAGAGTAGGAGGTTCTTGGCATTGAGACTATAGCCAAGGACAATTATGTTAAATTGCTTAGCATGCTGTGGAATTAATTGCCCATGAGCTTAATTATAAATACTTAATTTATAAAACAGCTTCTATAAATGCACAGGTCCACATTTAGATATATGAACATTTTGGTAAAGAAGTGTCAGTCTGATATCCAATTTAAAACTTTAATGTCAGCATCACTTCAGACCTTCTCCGCTTCGCTTCTGCTCAGGCTGACCCATGGCTCAGGGAATTCAGAAGAAATAGGGGCA